TTACGATGATCCTTGTATGGATTGAAGCAATCGGGGCGCATGTGGTACAATCGCCTCAGCGAGTACTTAATAAAAGAAGGATATATGAATAGTCATCTTTGTCCATGCATTTTTATTAGCAAAACAAAATCAGACTTTGGTATTGTTGCAGTATATGTTGATGATTTGAATCTGGTGGGAACCTCTGAAGAGCTCCTGAAGACTGCCACTTATTTAAAGAAAGAATTCGAGATGAAAGATCTCGGAAAGATAATTTTTTTTCTGGGACTGCAAATTGAACATTTATCAAGATGAATCCATATCCATCACTCAACATATACAGAGAAGGTTCTGAAGCATTTTGATATGGATAAAGCCCATCCCTTGAGCTCATCAATGGTTGTCCGATCATTTGATGTTAAAAAAAATCATTTTCGACCTCCAAAAGATGATGAGGAACTCATTGGTCTGGAAGTACCATATCTTAGTGCAATTGATGCTTTTATGTATCTTGCAAATTGTAAGATACAGTTCTACACCAACCCGTAGACATTGGAATGGAGTCAAACACATATTACGATATCTTCGTGGAACAATTGATATGGGATTGTTTTATTCAAAAGAATCAAAATCCCAGTTAATTGGATATGCAGATGCTGGTTATCTCTCTGATCCACATCAAGCTCGATCATAAATAAGGTATGTGTTTACTTGTGGTGGCATTGCTATCCCATGGCGCTCTATGAAACAGACAATGATTGCCACTTCTTCAAATCATTCTGAGATACTCGCAATTCATGACGCCAGCAGGGAATGCATTTGGTTACAATCCATAATCCAACACATTATATCAACATGTGGCCTCTTATCAATAACAGATACCTCCACAATATTATATGAAAATAATGTCGCATGTATTGCACAGATGAAAGAGGGTTATATCAAAAGTGACAGGACCAAACACATCTCACCAAAAAAAATTTACACACATGAACGCCAAAAGAATGGTGAAATTGATATTCAGCAAATACGTTCATATGAAAATTTAGCAGACCTGTTCACTAAGGCACTGCCAACCACAACATTCAAGAAATTGGTACACAACATTGGGATGCGACAACTTAAAGATCTTTGGTACTAATGGGGAAGAGTACTTGATTAAAAAGGTATTAACATATACTGTACTATTTTCTTTCGCTCAGGTTTTGTCCCAATGGGTTTTCCTGATAAGGTTTTAATGAGGCAGTTCTACCCCATGCAATACTATTTTCAGACACACAAGAATATTGTACTCTTTTTCCTTCGCTCAAGTTTTGTCCTAATGGGTTTTCCTGACAAGGTTTTAATAAGGTATATTCTTAGTGTAGTCTTGTGGACCCCAAGGGGGAATGTTATGTATGATCATCATGTGGGGTCTACACATGATCAAAGGCCATTGCAAATTAGTGTGCAATTTGCAATGCAAGTGGTATTTGCAATGATGACTCTAAACAGTGTATACACAAAGTAAACATTTCTGATTGGTTTGATGATGCAGTAATGAAGTGCTATTGGTATATTGATGTGTACTAATGTAATAGATATAATAATGGGCGCTGAATTTGAAAGGCGGTGAAACAGTAGATTAAGGATACTATATATATGTGTATAGTTTGTACATAAGTTTGTATCCTGAGTTAGAAAATTAATAATAGCATTCTCTCTATCCCTATTCTTATATTTCATTTACAATGAAACTTTTGTTTTTGTTTTGTTTTTGGGTTAAGTGCAATAAACCTCCCTGATATATAAACTTAGTGCAAAACTGGTCCCTACTTTTTGAAAATGTGCGTGCAAGTCCACAAAATTCAAAAAAGGTGCATAACCAGTCACTCTGACAACTTTTTACAAAAAGTAAAACTGAAAACCCCGTTTTACCCTTTTGTTTCCCATTTTGCCCTTCACCATTTATGCATAAAAGACCCTCAGCATTTTTTAACAAAGCAAAAGCTAGATGATGAATGATCAGAAAATTGAGAAGCTTTTTACTTCAATTAAACCAAGCATTCGCCAATAGATCAGACATTAAGCAAATTGCCATGGAATATTTTCATCTAAATGATTAGTCTTAAATGTTCTATGTAATAAGGAAAACTTACAGCAGTGCAATGTAGTTTTGGGGAATACCGGAGACAACACGACAGGTAGCTCCGACAATGACGAACTCCTACGATGCTAACTCTCGCCGTAACTCCACCGTCCTCTTCGACCAAACCCAGTTCAGTCCTGCGAGCATCCGTCCGCCTCTAGATGTCTTTTTTCTTACTCCCGGCCCCGGAAAGAGAGATGAAGAGACGGAGACACCATTACTGCCGATGCTTGCGACTCAAGCACAGTCACCATCAATGCCAATGCTTGCGACTTAAGCACAGTCACCGTAACCAACACAGTTGCTTGAAAGCTTGTCGGAGTATGTGTGTTTTCCTATTGGTTCAATGATGTTGTTGAAGTGGGTTGAGTTCTCTTGAGACGTTGCCGAACTGAAATTGGGTTGCTCTTAATTTAGTCGTCACCAACGTCATGGCCCACTCGCCAGAATCAGTTTTAAGCTTTGTGGTTTGTCATTCAAGTGGGTCTCGCGAGCTTGTTCCTTGTTGCCATCTAGGGACATGAAGCATACCGGTGTACAGCTCACAGGAGTAGTGACTAAAACACTCCGTGTGTCATTGGCTTTTTGCATGCAGGTCATGGGACCAGAAGTACACCGAAGCTCAATGATTTGTCATCTTCATCAGAGCATATGAGTCGTGGAGCTCGTCGTTGGTTATGGAGTTCACCGGCGTTCAGTTGCTGCTTTGAAGCTCACTAAATACACACGCATGGAAGTGTAGCTCGCTCTATGATCACCGAAGTGGGTCTCATTTGCTTGAACTGTTTGTTGTAGTTTGGAGCTTTCTGTTTGTTTTTGTAGGCTTTAATGGTGGTTTCGCCGTCGATGGAGCATCTAAATGATGGCAACGGTGGTCTGTATATATATATATATATATATATATATATATATATATGTATCAAGCTTGGCCATGATTTCATTCTTGCATGGTCATGGAGAGGTTTTAGAGATGACCGGTATCTTTCGCCGTCGATCTTGTTGCTGATACATTCACCGCCATCAGGTCCGATCTGCCGATACAACCTCCTCACAAGATTCAGATTTTGGGTTGAAGACTTAGATACCTCCTTCAACTTCATCAATTTTCATTATGCTCTCCCAAACAGAACCTGCAACTACACGCTTTTTTTTTTTTGCCAATTGGATATTGGGTCTGCTAATGGTGTTGTTTACAAAGGGTGATTGTGGATGCCGATATGGGTTTTGAACTTTTGATTCTTTCAGCAAATAGATAAACTAAAATATATGGGTTTTGAACTTTTGATTCTTGTAGTTTGTAGTTGCAGAGAGAAAGAGAGAGAGAGGGGGCAAGTTCAGAGTTGAGAACGATGCCATGGAGGCGGAGGCTGAAATGATTTGCCCTAAAACCCATAGATTTGCCCTAATGATATATGGTGCGCGCGAGCGCACACACACACATATATATATATATATATATATATATATATATATATATATATATAAATGACAAATTTATTTATATTTTAAAATATGAAAGGACATGTTTGGTTTTAGATTTAATTATATTCAGGTTTAAGTTATCCCAATTTTATACAATTTGAGGTTTATATTATTCTTTTGCCAAACAAACCCCATTTTATACAAATTTGAACAAAAGGGTTATTTTAGATGACCTGTATTTATAATCATTAATTTATTCAACTGAAGTGAGGGTATTATCGTCATTTTATACCACCAGAGACCTATTCTCACCAAATTGATAGTATAGGAAGGTTTTTACCACACAGGGACTGATATGCACTATATCGATAGTAGAGGGGGGGTTTTTTGCACTTAACCCCTTCTTCTTCTTTTTTTAATTTTTATTTATTTATTTTTTTTTGACAATTACAATTGATGAAATTGAATAGGATTAGGAATGTATAGAATTTTACCGTGTGTATGTTTCATGAAAAAAAAAAAAAAAAAAAAAAAAAAAAAAGAAAAGGAAAGAAAAGAAATAACCAAATGGTTTTCTATTTGAATTCAACTAGAATTATAACCTACTAAACTAATAGAAACACGGGGATAATTGGAACTTAAAATATAACCCCGCCGCTTTTGCTAGAAACAAAATTTTGGTATGTTTTACCAGGGGAATCATTTGGGGAAAATTGACTACTTTTGGGAATCTTTGTTTCTTACAAATTTTCCCTTTCATCCTAAACAAACACATTTTCGATTGTTTTCCTTCCCTGCTGCTTCCGTCCAACTATACACACTCTTAATGCATTGCATTCAGCAACAATGGGGAAAGAGAGAGTGTACCAAACACAACTAAGATAATCACACGATTAGGATAATTTATTTATTTTTTATTTTTATTTTTTTTCTGGTAAGTAGGTAAATGAATCAAACTTCTAAAGTACTTTTATTTAGCATGCCATATGCTAACTTTCAGAGAAAAACGAAAACTCTTTGTTAGCTAGGGACTCTTGCAAGCATATGTGTATGTGATCATAAGTTGCATGCAGCAACAGAAGTTGCTAGTTATATTTCTTGAGAGCCACTTGGTCAACTGTAATGCTGAAGTAGCTGAATTCTGGATTTGTTTACGTCACGTGAAGGTGAATCGGGCATATTATTTACAATGTCCGACTAATGAAGATATAACAAATCAGTTTATATAGAGAAATTTTTTTTTAGGTGTTCAGACTCATTTCTCTGTATGGTGAATTTTCATCGGCTGGCATAACAATGACATGGCATGCTCATAATCATATATTTAGGGATCCATTACATTAACTAATTGCCATTCATCTCTATCTAGGGCTATAATCTCTTATAAATCATTGTCATTCCATCACATTGCGGAAAAGACTTGGGCCAGATGTCCCATGAAGCATTAGGTCTCATATCGATTCTTCCCACGTGCAAAGAAAAAACAAAATGTTATCAAACTCTACTTAGCATGTACCATTTTTCCATTACAAGTTTCATAAAAAAGAAAAGCTCACTATATCACCAAATGTTCCATGCGTTTTTAACAAATTACTTGAGTAATTAGGGTGCACCTTTGACAACAGAAAAAGCCTCATACAGAAAAGGTAAATAATGGGGAACTGAGATACAACATAAATTTACTAAACTTCGTATACAATCACCCAATTTGATTAACGAAAAGGTATATGGTAATGAAATGTCAGTTCGCCACAAAGTGGTTTGTGCCTACCAAGAAGGTTGCAGTGGCCGAAAGAGACCGTTGAAAAATCACCTGATCAAATTGTCAAATAATCAATTATCTACTATCAGATCGCTTCTGTCATTATCTTGAGACACAGCAAACAGCATTTGAGGCAGAATACTTGCCAAAGTAGAGGCAGAATAATCTTCTAGCGATTTCCTGGCAGCACCTCCAAACACGAGCTGTCTAACCAAGGTCGGAATGCTCCTTCATGGGTCAAATTCTGAATATATCATGAGCATCAGAACACGCTACACTATTTTTCAGTAGTTAATGACATATTAAAGAAGATGAGAACATAATATCAAAAACTAGTGGCTAATTATTAACATATTTCAATGGTTCTGGAAAAATATTAGTGCATTGTCCCGTGCAATCTTCCTACAAGGGCTGCTGAGAGGAATATAGATCAGAGACGAATATTAGTGCATTCGCGCTATCAGACTCGAATCTGATACCCTTCAATCTTGTCGGTACAAGCTTTTTCATTGCAAATTTAAAATCTAAAAATTCCATTGCAGCCTTAAGAGACTGTTGAAAAATCACCTGATCAAATTGTCAAATAATCAATTATCTACTATCAGATCGCTTCTGTCATTATCTTGAGACACAGCAAACAGCATTTGAGGCAGAATACTTGCCAAAGTAGAGGCAGAATAATCTTCTAGCGATTTCCTGGCAGCACCTCCAAACACGAGCTGTCTAACCAAGGTCGGAATGCTCCTTCATGGGTCAAATTCTGAATATATCATGAGCATCAGAACACGCTACTAGTATTTTTCAGTAGTTAGTGACATATTAAAGAAGATGAGAACATAATATCAAAAACTAGTGGCTAATTATTAACATATTTCAATGGTTCTGGAAAAATATTAGTGCATTGTCCAGTGCAATCTTCCTACAAGGGCTGCTGAGAGGAATATAGATCAGAGACGAATATTAGTGCATTCGCGCTATCAGACTCGAATCTGATACCCTTCAATCTTGTCGGTACAAGCTTTTTCATTGCAAATTTAAAATCTAAAAATTCCATTGCAGCCTTATCCTAAAATTTCAAGACATGCTAATTACATCAATTCACTACTCTGGTTCAAGTGAGTTGTAATTGATGCAACATCCTACCATTTGTCCATTATTTTGGATGGGGAACTTCAGAAGTAGTACATATTGTTAGCATATATGATAGCCACGATTTATGGAATGACTTATCATATTAGATTTTGATTTAGTTTCATTTCTTGTAATATGAGCATGTGCGTTTTTTTTTTTTTTTTTTAATCTACAAATACTAGAGCTGTGAATGAGTGATTAATCTCGTTCAATCCTTTACACAATTCTCTCTTTTTTCTTCTTTTTATATTTCTTCTCATATTGTATATAGATGACTGAAAAGTTGAGATATACGCCAAATATCAATTCAAGTAATTATATTCTTCAAGAGAGGAGGGAGGTGGGGAAGAAATACTGGACAAATGGTATGATGCAGTAACTTCGTCTGCTTCGTTTGTAACTCTAAAAACAGTTCTCAAGAATTTAGAAAATAGAAAACTGTATTCAGAAAACTTTAAAAGCCAATTCTCTGAAAACAGGTCCTTTATAACTGAGTTTTCATAAAACTAAGCCAAGCAGAGTTTTTTGTACAGTTTTCAGTTTTCTAAAAACAAAAAACTGTTCTCAGAGTTACAAACCAAGCAGGGCCGAGCTTGGAGTCCGTACTCAAGGGAGCTTCTTGCTTTGCTCTGAAGAAATGTTGATGGAGATCACACCGAGTTCCATGCACCTCCCCCCTATATGTACCTACCATAGGCGCCGGTGCAAAGGATAGAAAGTCTTCTGGCACCAAAAGTAGGTTCAATTATATGGTTCACTAGGCTTATGGAAACCATTCTTGACTGTTATGGATTGTATTAAATGTGGTAGCAGCTATTTTTGACTTTATTTTTCTTTGGTTTGTCTATATTTAGGCGGGCATATGTATTGGATCGATCAACTTGTGATGAATATTGAATATTAAATTGTGCTTTCACACATCTTCCTCCCTAATTCTTCGTCTCTTCTCCCTCTTCTCTCTTCTTCTCTCTTCTGGTTCTACATCACTCACACTACCCTTTCTACATCAAATGTCTACCTTAAACATATCTTCATTGCCTCCTTAGGAAGAAGGTGGACAGTGTGATTGAGAGGGTGAAAAAGAAATTTAGTTCAGAGGAGGTCCAACTTTCCAGCAGGCTCTGTATTCTTAATAGGGCAGGATTAAATTTTTCAACATGTGGTTTCAAGTTGTTCTAAAATGGTCTTACTAAAAGTTATAAAAGTTAAGAAGTTTCTAATTCAGAATTCTAGCATTATTGGAATGAGAAGATGTCCTGTAGCCTACAAATACTATATGCATCTTATCCTTAAATTATAAGTGATTCGATTTTGCAATTCTACTCACAGTTGCAACCCTGTCATTGTTCATCCCGAAAACCTAATTCCATATCCCTGTCCACTTTCCTTTAGGAATTTTATTTTACACCCAAAACCTGAAAAAAAAAATTCTGTCTAAATTTTTTTACCATCTCATACTCTAAAATTCCAATAACCTGTCACTTCTAAAGCAAATCTAACCAAGCACTTTTAGCCTAAAAACCCCAAAACCTTTCTCCCACCCTTTTATATCATTATCTCACACGTTGACATTCTTTGTCAACCACAAAGTCAACTATAAAGTATTGCTTGCAAATGCCTAAAAATAAAAATTTTCCAATCTAAACCATATTATTAGATTTAGTATTAGTTTGATATACCCAAAAATAAGCTATATATATTTTTTAATATTATAAAAAGATTTTGATGATATTTTCGGTTGACAAAAAGATGGTATGGATCGTCGATAGTATTGTAGATTGTGTTTTGGAATTTGAGGGGAGGGTGACTCCAGTGCAAATTATGACATTGTTTTGGTCTTCTACATTGATAGATAACTCCGGCTCTCAAATTTTAAGAGACATTATAGTCATTTAATATTATATTTAAAGATTCATTTTTTATGGGTAAAATGCAAAACAACAACCCCCCCCCCCCCCCCCCCCCCCCCCCGCGCCGGGCGGAACTACAAAAAACCTCCCCTAAACTATTGTTTTGTTGCAATTTACCCCATCAAGTCACCGGAAAAAGCAAAAGACCAGTTCACCCTTACTATAAAATGACGTACGTTTAATCCTTAGACTCATAAGTTGCTGACGTGGCTACTGAAATCTAATCAACCAATGGAATTTTGACAACACACCCAACTCCATCATTGTCATATTCTTATTTCATATTTCACCTTTCAAAAAACAAAAGTCCTTGGCTCCTCTTTGCTCTTCCTCTTCTTAGCTCCTTGCTTCCCCACCCGAGGGGGACTATATGAGGGGGTAACGTGATCCCTTCTGACGAACTCCTCTAACACAATGAATCATCGTAAAAGGAAATAATCAATCATACGGAGAAAATAAATCCAAATCCCTAGAACTGATTCACCATTTTTTTAGGTGATCAAGTTATGCTGGCGGTGATGGTGGTTACAAAAGTGGTGGGTGATGGCAGTGGCTTGGGTGGTTCAGTATGAATTATTTGAGTTTTCAAAAATTTATGGTCAAATTGGTTCGACTATGATGGTGGTGTTGGTGGGTTTCTAGGGTTCGATTGGGTAAATTGTTTGAGAGAAGTTTGTGACTCGATTGGTTGACGTTATGGTGGCGATGATGGCAATAACTAGGGTGGTTCAGTAGGAATTATTTGAGTTTCTAAAAATTTGTGCTTCGATTGGTTCAGCGATGATGATAGTGGCAGTGGCTTTGTAGGGTTTGATTGAGTAATTGTTCGACTTTTCAAGATGATGGAGAGAAGTTTATGGCTCGATTGGTTGGCGTTATGGTGGCAGTGATGGTCGTTGCAAAAGTGGTGGGTGATGGTAGTGGCTTGATTCAGTGGGTTTTTGGGTTCCATTGGGTTTGACAATGTGTGGTTTAATTGAGAAGGTGGTGGTTGAATTGATTGATGTTGAGGGATCGTGATGGTGGTGGAAGTGGTGGGATGGTGGCGATATGCACATCGCCATGGCTAAAGAGCAGAAGTGTTGACGTTTCAATTTAGGTACAAACAATGAAGTAGGCAATTGGGTTGTGCATGGTTAGGTGGTGTTTGGGTGTATAGTTATATGGTGTTTGGGTCTAGGTTTAAAAAAGGGTATGGTGTGGTGATCGCCCGTTGGCTCGTTCCTTTCTCAGACTTTTCCGGATTGCCATGGATAGACGTGCTTTGGTGGCCGATTGTTATCAGCTCAATAACGGTAGGCTCGCGTTGGATGTGTTTTCGGCCTTTCAGCATTGGGAGTTGGATGAGGTTGCAGGTTTGTTGGAGCTGTTGTACGGACAAGAGGTAGATAGTAGTGGCACTGACTCTCTGGTTTGGGTGCCTTCTATAGAAAGTAGTAATTGTCCAAATATTGCGTTGGATAAGCTTCCAAGAAAAAGATTGAATAGAAGTTTAAATTCAAAAACTGTTGCACAAGACTCCTTGGATAAATGGATACATAGAAAGAAGATTGGAGAAAGTTCAAAGTCTTTTGAACTGAGTTATCCACCTTGATTTGGGAGGATTTTGTATTTTATTTTATCTTGATCTGTTGTACAATATTATTCAAAATAATTTGTAACAATGATAAACATATATAAATTCTCTTCCGCACCTTCTGCTACGGTATGAAAAAAAACAGAATTTCCTACCAAAAATACTTGTATTCAAAAATTCTTTATGGTGTCAGAGCCAGTAACAATGGCATTAGCATCCACTCTCAAATATCCCTACCCTTCAAACCTCGATGTTGCAAACTTCATTTCATTGAAGCTTACTTCAACAAATTATTTGTTGTGGGAAACACAAGTACTCTGTTTTATTGAAAGTCAAGACTTGCTTGGCTTCATCACAGGAGAAACCATTACTCCAGAGAGAGAGAGGGAGATTGAAGGTTCCAATGGAACGGGAAGGATTGTAAATCTTGATTTTGTGTTATGGACACGCACTGATCGGCTAGTGAAAGCTTGGATAACGGCCTCTCTAACGGAAGAAGACATTCTTGGACTTCTTGTTGGTCTGAGAACAACTGTTGAAAGCTCTGGTTGATGCCTTTTCACAAAGCTCGCAAGCAAGAGAATTTGAGCTACTTCAAAAGCTTCAATATATGAAAAAGGGAACTTTTTCCCTAGCTGAGTACTTAAGAGATTTTCAATCCATTTGTGACCAGTTGAATGCAATTGGTAAACCTGTGTCTGATAAAAACAAAGTCTTTTGGTTGTTAAGTGGGCTAGGACCAAAGTATGAAGCATTTTCTACAACAATGTTGAAGCCACCAGTGCCAACTTATACAGATTTTATATCTCTTCTTCAAAGCCATGAATTAAGAAGCAAGGGGCATCAAAGTGAGGTGACTAATCATGCAATGGCCTTTCTTGGTCAGAAATCTAAAAATAAAAACAATCATAAACGTGGTGGTGGACAATCCTTTACATCAAAAGGAAGAGGTTTCCAACAAATTGGGTAACATGGGTCATTTTTTCTAGATGGAGATTCATCCAATCGACATCAAGAAACTTCAAGAACACAACCACAATACAAAAATAATGTGGTTGTTTGCCAAATATGCAAGAAAAGAGGGCAAGAGGCTCTTAAATGTTGGCATCGGTTTGACAACAGCTATCAAGATGAAGAAATTCC